GGGGCCGGGCCCGAGCCCCGGTAACGGCCCGGCCCGGCGGGCTCCGGTGCTGGCGTTCCGGGCCGCGCGGCGGGCGCTGCCCCGCGGGGAGCCGGGGCCTGTCGCGGTTGGCTTTCCCACCGACTCTGTTTTTACAGTGGCTGGGAAACAGGCCTGGGGACGGGATCGTCATTTGCGCAGGGTCTTCCCACTTCCTGYGCTCTCCCGGTCCTCGGTATTGTTTTCTTCWGTACTGGGGGGGYTTTTTAGCCTGGAGAAAAGGCGGCTCGGGAGTGACCTTATCACTCTCTGCAGCTCCCTGAAMGGAGGGTGTAGCCAGGTGGGGGTCGGGCTCTTCTCCCGGGTAACGAACCACAGGACAAGAGCACACAGTGTTAARTTGCGCCAGGGGAGGTTTAGATTGGACAATAGGAGGAATTTCTTCACAGAAAGAGCGATTAGACATTGGAACGGGCTGCCCMGGGAGGTGGYRGAGTCACCGTCCCTGGAGGTGTTTAAGACGCAACTGGACGTGGCACTGAGTGCTCTGGTCTGGGTGACAGGGTGTTGTTTAGTCACAAAGTTGGACTCGATGATCTCAGAGGTCTTTTCCAACCTAATTGATTCTGTGATTCCTGACACGTCCTGGGATTCCTTTAGCCTTTAGAGAGCTGGATAGAGCTCTGTGCTTYTCAGATGCAGTAATCCCACCGCAGAGCCTCGCTTGCTGATGCCCTTAGGAGCAGCAGTTCCAGAGGTTCCCTTCCTCAGTGGTGGGCACCATATGGTGCTCASAGAAACACTCGTCATTCTACTTGTGCAGATGGGGGACCTTGTTTATCATAACGTGCTGCCCGTCATGAGTTCTCTTCTCCCTCCCCAGGTATGGCCTCACAGCTGCAGGTGTTCTCCCCTCCGTCAGTATCCTCGAGTGCCTTCTGCAGTGCCAAGAAACTGAAAGTGGAGCCGTCTGTCTGGGATGTTTCAGGACAGAGCAGTAGTGAAAAGTATTATACCCACAGCAAAAACCTCCCAGCAGCTCAAGGGCAAGCCAGCTCCTCTCATCAGGTAGCCAATTTCAGCATCCCTGCCTACGACCAGAACCTCCTTCTCCCCGCTCCCTCCGTCGAGCACATCGTGGTCACCGCGGCCGACAGCACCGGCAGCAGCGCCACAGCGTCCTTCCAGAGCAGCCAGACCCTCACCCACAGGAGCAACGTTTCTTTGCTGGAACCATACCAAAAATGTGGATTAAAAAGGAAAAGTGAAGAGGTCGACAGCAACGGTAGTGTGCAGATCATTGAGGAACATCCACCTCTCATGCTGCAAAACAGACCTGCGGTGGGTGCTGCGGCCACGACCACCACGGTCACCACGAAAAGCAGCAGCTCCAGTGGGGAGGGGGATTATCAGCTGGTCCAGCATGAGATCCTKTGCTCTATGACCAACAGCTATGAGGTCTTGGAATTCCTGGGACGAGGGACGTTCGGGCAGGTGGCAAAATGCTGGAAACGTAGCACGAAGGAGATTGTAGCCATCAAAATCCTGAAGAACCACCCTTCCTACGCTAGGCAGGGCCAGATCGAGGTGAGCATCCTGTCTCGCCTGAGCAGTGAGAATGCTGACGAGTACAACTTTGTCCGCTCCTACGAGTGCTTTCAACACAAGAATCATACATGCCTTGTCTTTGAGATGCTGGAACAGAACTTATATGATTTCTTAAAGCAAAACAAGTTCAGTCCGTTGCCCCTGAAATACATCCGGCCCATCCTGCAGCAAGTGGCTACTGCCTTGATGAAGCTGAAGAGTTTGGGTCTGATCCACGCTGATTTGAAGCCAGAGAACATCATGTTGGTGGATCCTGCACGCCAGCCCTACAGAGTGAAGGTGATAGACTTTGGGTCAGCCAGCCACGTGTCCAAGGCCGTGTGCTCCACATACCTGCAGTCTCGGTATTACAGGTAAGCACTGACATTCTGCTCTCTGAACCGGCTCAGGCTGATCCTGCTGGGGTTTTTTTCTACAGACACTGAGCTCTTCTCTCTAACCCCAGCTGAGGGACAGCAGGAAGTGGTCAGCTCTGCATGTTTCCTGGAGATTTCTTCTGAAAGTTGGGTGTAAATAAATAGAATGCCTGCCTTGCAAGGGCTTATTGTAATTGGGTTGCCTAATCTGCAGCCCAGCACCTTCCTTTCCCCCCAGATCAGTYCACTATGTTGATTTTACCCTGTCCACTGGTTTGTGACACTGTATGAAGTGGCAAACTGGAGAAGCAGTGTGCCAGTGTTAAGTAGTGCATTTTGGGTTGTTTACCATGATCTGAAACGAGGCCATTAACCTTGGATGTTTAGAAGGGAGAGAAGTCAAAGGGATGCCAATTTCTATTTGCTTTTGGTTCTTCTGATTCTTCATCTTTGTCTGAACCCCTTTCACAGGCACACCCCTTTCACAGGACTTCCTGTGTCAACCTTGGCTAAGTCATGCTTTCATGAGACTTGCAGCTCCTTTAGAGCAGTGATGAGGTAGATCTCAGCATCACTTAGCAAAATGTAGAGATGGCTTCTCCCCTACTCCTGCCTAAGAATTAAAAATAAACTATGGGCAGAAATATTAAAACTCAGAAACTGCATAAAGCGAGCTGTGCTGTTTCTTTCAATTATTCCCCCAGCTTGGCTCTGTGAAGTCTGAATTAAAGTAGCAGCAGTCTTCAATAAATGGATGCAGAAAGAAATTCGG